TGCATCGTGCTGAATGACACCTTGTCAGCCCATCTATACCACGCTTACGCTGACACATCTTCCAAGCAGCTGAATGAAAACAGATTTCTGATTATATGAAGAGCCAATCTATATCATACTGTGATAATCCTATTTACATATAAATCAAAGTGAAAAAAAATATTCTTATCACACACTACTGGCCTGCTGATGAAGTGAGCTTTCAGAACCACGCTCTCTTTTAACCACAACCAAGAAAACAGTCATCCCGAGGACAGATGGCTTGAGTGGGAAGAAATCTGCGATGTTAAGGTGGTGCTATATGCTGTGAAAGGAGTATCATATTACATCTTGGTCTGCCCAAATGGCCTATATGCTTGGGGCACGTGAGCGAAATACATTTCTTTGTGTGCTATGTTGGGGTTGTATGATATATTTTAGATAAAGATCCCTATATTAATGCATGTTAATGTCTTTGTTATATATAATAATAATAATAAAAACATGAATGCCGAAGAAAGTGTTTTATGATAGAGCTTACTTCCAATGAGTCTCCGGAATGATCATTTAAGTTTATATAACCAAGTGAAATGGTGAACTAGACAGTGTACCTAGATCGCAATAGTGAAGAGGTACCAGGTACATGGAAGTCTTTTATGTATTTGGTCTCATTACTTTATTCACGTAAATTTCCTTATCTTGATTGCAATCCCGACGGAGATAGAAGAAACTCGAGGTAATGTGATTAATCACCTTAATTAGATATGGTGTTTTTAAACCGTGATTTATAGAAAATGTACAGTATGATGAGTTCTTGGTATGTACGAAATATACTGCTGGGAAATATACAAATACATTTTAGAAATGAAGTAGCTAATGTTTTTACCTCTGCAAATCTATATATTATAGAATATTTGAAAATATCTGAGCAGATTCAGAAATATGCAGCATTGTAAATATTAGTTTGTCACATCGGTCCAGTAGAATATATTCAAACTGACTCAAATGTAATGGAAACCTTGGGATTTATAGAAGGAACCAAAAGAAAATTTATGTATTGGCTAAAGTAGAGTCTGATATGTTAGATATATTAGATGATGGTGATGATGGCATGTCATGACATGCAATATCCTGTGTGTATATCCAGAACCACAAGCGCAACAATAACAGCAGCAAAAACAACAACAAGAACACAACCATAACTACTCCTCGTACTACTACTGCTTTTACTACTAGACAACAACTTCTCTAGCTACTAAAAGATCTACTACTAGCACAACTACTACTGCTAGTGCTATTACCACATTTACTACTACGGCTATCACTACTACGAAAATTCTGTCAGGCCTCCAGTCCTCCTCCTCCTCCTACCACTTTACTTCTACTACTACTAGCCACCATGACTACTATACTGAGAGAATAGAATTTATTACTATCGTATCTAGCGCTGCAAAATTCACCATTATTTTCTTGACATTTCAGAAAATAAGAACGAAATAGGTATTGATTATCACCCTTAACAATTAACAATGTAGTTTCACGAGCCTCTGCAAGGGTATTTGCATCCTCCAAAAAAAGGATTTTAAAAGATATGTATGAACGAGTGAGGTTATTGTGTAATTTGAGGAGTAGATCGACTAAGTATATCCTAAAATCCGATTGAAAGTTAATTAATTCAGAAAATAAATCAATTCTGGGACTGACTGTCGCGTTTTCGGAAATCCATTTGTAATTCTACTGAATGAGGGATCTTAGGAATGGACAGAAGCAATGTTTTTTTTTTTTTTTTTTTTTTTTTTTTTAAGATTTATTTCATATTCATATTTTTACAACTATGTCCCTTTAGTAGGTTGAGGGTTAATGGTTAAATCAAATAAATATGCTAAACATCAAAGGTCCTATATCACTATGGTTAAGTATAGTGTCGAAAAAAGGTAAAAATGGGTTCAAGATTAGGAAAAAAATGTGTTAAATGCCAGTCAAAGGTTTGTAGAGCACTATACGAGAGTAATGGTTGAGAAAATGGTAAAAGAAGAGAAAAGGGAGTAGAGG